CTTTCACCCAGGAGCGAATCCGTTTAGCTCGACTGATTGAGAAATCTGAGTATCGGAACTTCCAGGCTTGCCTGCACAATTCTTGGATTGAGCAGGCAGCAGCTGCCCTGGAGATTGAGCTGGAAGAAGACATGTATAAGGGTAAGCCCTTGGGCCGGATGGGAATTGAGGAAGGTGAAATTCCCTTTAACTTTTGCTTCGTTGGAACCCTCACTACTACTGTGGGTCTTGTCAAAATCAGCAAGACATCCTTCCCCTTCTTTGCCAACAGGCCCTAGTCCCAGATGGGCTTCCTCTGTCTCTGTCTTGCATCCTCAGTTGCCGCCTCTTACGTGGACAGGCAATGGATACAGTGAGGAAGGGAGCAGGCTCTCTGGCCAGGCTGCCTGTGTTAAAATGCCTGCTCATTCCTTTTACTGTGTGACTGAGCCAAGTTATTTAACCTCTGTTGTGTCTCAGCTTTCTTTTTTTGATAAAATGGAAGTAATCAGCCATCTACTTCATGGGATTGTTGGGAAGATTGATTGAGTTAAAAAATGTTAAGTGCTTGCAGCATTGCCTGGCAAATAGAAAGTATTTGATACGTTTTAAGCTGTTTGTCATTATGGTTCCTACTACAGCTGCCTTCCAAGCTGACAGAGGCCTTTCATGCCATTATCTCATTTGATCTTCTCTGCTTTCATGACATGAACATACCAGGAAGTACTATTCTTTTACATATGGGAACTAGATACAGCAGAGGCAATTTGTGCAGGGAAACAGCTCTGTCACCAGGCATTTTCTGAGCTGCTACTCTGTATGTGGCCAGAGGCTGAGGCTTCAGGGATGAATCTGCTCAGTCCCACCTTGAGAAAGCTCCTGAGTCTAAGAAGTTGTAGAACCAGATCTAGAATTCCGTGCTTCTTCCACACCACCAAATGTACAGCTCAGCTGAGATATTGACACCTCAGTGCTCAAGTCAGCAGATTCAGAACCAAACTTACTGCTGTCTGCTCAGCATGGAAGCCAGGAGCCAAACCAGTGGGCTTATAGACAGTGAGCTAGTCCTGGTAGCTCAGGGTTGGGGCTTGGGCTGAAGATGTGGAGGCCCTGGCTTCCCTTCCTGAGGACAGACTGAGATGGAACCCTTTGGCCCTGCCCGCCTCTGCATGTACAGTCACAGCGCTGGTGGCAAGGTACGGGAGAGCTGGGCTACAGAGAAGCATTCATTGTCTCCTAAGGGGGTTGTAGTTGTGAAATCTCCAAACCCCAGGTGGGCAGTAAGTGGGTAGGTCATAGGAAGAAAGGTGATCTTCTGTCAGAAGACTTGGGTTCTGGGCTCTGTCTGATGGCTGGCTCTGAGACATAAGCCAGGTGACTTCTCTAAGCCAATTTGCTTCAGCTGTAAAGATAATTCCAGTCTTAAAGTGTTTTTACAAAGGAGAAAAGTACAGAACGGTCATGCGTATCCCCCCCAAATGGTTAGATGTTACCCATTTACAGCCCCTGCCAAGCCACCACTGGCTTCTTTGGAGAACTTTTCAACTCTGCCTTCCTAAAGTAGTTCTAAAACATTTTTTATTGTGTTATCCATCAAGGGAAACAAAATGTTTGTACAAAACCATAGTAAATAGGATCTTTTTTGTATTGTGTTTCAAGGAGGAAAAGCTGACCAGCAAGAAGAGCGTCGGAGACAAAAGCAGTTGAAGGTTCTGAAGAAGGAGCTGCGCCACCTGCTCTCCCAGCCGCTGTTTACAGAGAGCCAGAAAACCAAGTATCCCACTCAGTCTGGCAAGCCGCCCCTGCTTGTGTCTGCCCCAAGGAATAGCGAGTCTGCTTTGAGCTGCCTCTCCAAGCAGCAGAAGAAGAAGACAAAGAAGCCAAAGGAGTTGCAGCCAGAACAGCCACAACCAAGTACAAGTGCAAATTAATTGTCCTGGTCAAGTGTGTCGGTGACTGCACATTGGTCTCTGTTCTCTGGCTATTTGCAAAATGTCTCCTGCTCTTGTGTTTCACTCCACCATCAACCCCAGGTAAAAAAAAGTCTCCCTCTCTTCCACTCACACCCATAGTGGGAGAGACCTCATGCAGATTTGCATTGTTTTGGAGTAAGAATTCTATGCAGCCGCTTAACTTTTCTGTATTGCCGTGTTTATAGGCTTCTTGTGTGTTCAACTTGATTTCGTAAATTAAAAACAATGGTCAGAGCCAGTGTGTCATCCTAATTTTTCTTTTTTTTTTTTTTTTTTTTTAGCTAGAAGATGGGGATGGTGGTGTAGTTTGTTTCATTATTAACTTGGTGATTCTCCTGGGCTAGCACAGGCCTAAGCCCTTGAAAGGACAGGGATAGTGTCAGGCCTCTGGCTGCAGGCCAAGGTTGTACAGTGTGAATGGAGGAAGAGGCTAGAGTTGAGGCCTCTGCAGTATATCCTGCCAGGTCCTTGGTACTTGTTCCTGCTTTACCCAGAGCAGCACCCTAATGGCTCCTTGTCTGTTTCCCACTCTGTCCTGGCTATTACCTGAGCCTCCCTGGGAGGTGGGCAGGAATGAGTTTACTGTCTTCAGGCTTCCCTCACATCACAGAGCCAACAGTAACAGCCACTGGTTCTGGCGTGTGAGGCCCTCAGGATCTAACCCCAGCCTTATCTCCACTCCCCTCCTTTGTGACAGAGCAGTCTTCTGCCCACTGATCCATGCTTCCCTTCTCTTGTCCTGATCCTTGTACAAAATAGGCTTTTCCCTCGGTCTGCATTGCTTTTTGGCCTTCTCTATCCTATGGATCTTCCAGTCCTGCGCCTCTAAGGGTTAGCAGTGCTTTTCCTGGGGCTCCCTTAGTGTCCTGTGCTTAACCTCTTCATAGCATTTGCCATGCTGTGTTCCCTTAGCTGAGCTCCTTAGGAGAAGTGGACCTCAAGGCGTGGGTCAGCCTGGTGTAAATGTGTATTGAAGGAACTAGGGACCTCCTGGTGCTGCCTCAGCTTTCTCTGGATCAGTGTAGGTGAGTATCCACAACTCCCACAACCATGGGAGCAGAACAGATTTCTGCACAGCCGTCTGCCTTCCAAACAGGTATTCATTGGGGCACAATACAGTACAGCTCTTTAGTTCAAGGAATGCTAGGGAATTGAAGAGGATACATAAGTAGACCAAGATACCCCAAGATTTAAGTAGCCAGCCTCTCTCAGCATCATGGTTGGCACTTTGATCTAATTGAATTAGCATTTAGTCTTGAAGGTCCTGAGAAATACATATATATTTTGAGACTTGCTCTGTTGCCCAGGTTGGAGTGCAGTGGCACAATTACAGCTCACTGCAACCTCACACTCCTGGGCCCAAGCAATCCTCCTGTCTCAGCCTCCCAAGTAGCTGGGACAACAGACACACACCACCACACCTGGCTGATTTTTTTTATTATTACTATTTTGTAGAGATGAGGTCTCACTAAGTTGCCTACACTGGTCTCAAACTCCTGCGCTCAATGATCCTCCTGCCTCTGCCTCCCAAAGTGCTGGGATTATAGGTGTGAGCCACTGTGCCCAGCTCCAAGTCTTAATAGTCTTTTTTTGTACTAAGCATATAGACGCCCAGTGATTGAGACTTGCCCAGGGCCACACAGCAGCCAAGTGGCAGAGGTAGGATTAGTGTCTTCCTTCTGGGCCCAGCACAGGTTCAGAAAACTACTTCAGTCTTAACAGTGTTGCCAAGGAATGGCCTCCCATCCCCCAGTGTCACCGGTGACCTGGATAGGAGGGGAAAGTGTCCCTGTCTATGAGGTCAGCTCCTGACTAACAGCTGTCAGAGGATGTCAGGGAGACTCCAAAATGATGCATTAGAGGTCAGTGGGTTAATAAGCAGGCTCAAGATCCCGTAAAGCACCTAAGCCGTGGGAGTGAAGCCACTTGTCACAAGCCAAACATAAATCCCCTGATAACTGTCAGTGTCCTGCCCTAGACGCCTAACAGCAAATTACTTTCCTTTTTTTGGCAGAGGAGCTAAGTAGACAGGCTTTAAAAGACGAGGGCAGCCTTCCAGGCAGTGCTGCTCTCACCTGGTGAGGTGAAGTCAGTGGGCAGAGCTTCTTGAGTATCCTGGATCTACAATTAAACAAAGAAGATCCCTCCCCAGCTAATTCACTCAATACATAAGCACCACGGAAAAGCAGAGTTCTTGGCTGCATGCCAGGTACCCAGTATTAAGAAGCTAGGACAAAAGTAGTTATGGAAACTATTTTAATGCTAGGAGAATGTTTTTACTTACTGCCCAGGGAAGCTGTAGGGCTTGGCCCACATCCAGCAGCACCTGGGGCCCCTGGAAGCCACTCATTGTCACTGAGCCACAGCCCCCTTCCCATTCCCATATCTGCTCAGGGTGGCGATGTGTTTGGCTCCTAGACTCTTGTCTAATGGTTCCCCTGACACTCTTGCCTGGGAAGCCACAGAGTCACTGCCAAGGTGGCATGCTTCCCCATCTGCAGTGCCCTGTGCTTCCCGTCAGGAAGGACAGGTTGGGAGCATCCCTTTGTGGAGCCCATACAATGAGGGTGTCAGGTGTTAGAGCTGTTTTCACACAGGGCATCTCATTCCATTTTAACCAATAATCCAGTGATACATAGGTGTCGCCATTTCACAAACTTTGAAACTGGGGCTCTGGGAGGTGAAGTGACTTGGCCAAGATCACACAGCTAGTTAGTGGCAATGCTGGGGTTTGAACCCTGGCTCCAGAGCTCTCATTTGTGCTTAAAATAGGAATCTAGTTGGCCAGGCATGGTAGCTCATGCCTGTAATCCCAGCACTTTCAGAGGCCAAGGTGGGCAGATCACAAGGTCAGGAGATTGATACCATCATGGCTAACATGGTGAAACCCCTTCTCTACTAAAAATACAAAAAAAATTAGCTGGGCATGGTGGCACTCGTCTGTAGTCCCAGCTACTCGGGAGGCTGAGGCAGGAGAATTGCTTGAACCCGGGAAGCAGAAGTTGCAGTGAGCCAAGATCGTGCCGGTGCACTCCAGCCTGGTGACAGAGCAACACTCCATCTCAAAAAATACGTAAATAAATAAAAAACAGGAACCCAGGCAAAAGCAGGGACTGTGCTCTTTCTGTTGCTAATTGTTCCCATTGATTTATAAAGTTTCCTTTGGAGACAAAGTATCATCATAAATACGCAGTTGTAAAAACAAGCTCTCAAAGCAACTCTCTCCTTCCAGCTTTTGGTCTGGAGAGAGATGACTCACTGGGGTAAGGGGGGAGAATTATCCAGGAAGTGTGACTGCCAGGGTGACTGGCTGCTGTGGACAAGCAAAGTAATGTCCACAGATGCCTAGATGTTAACAAGGTGCCAAAGCCTGCCATGTCTTTTCAGCCATTGTGGTTTCCCTTTGAGACAAAGATCTAAGAGGGAACGAAGGGGGAACTAGAGCAATGGTTCAGATTTGGCCGATGGTTTTTAACTTGGCCTGCCTCTGCCAGAGCTTGAGTGTCCTGATTCTGAAGTGATAGAATAGATTCCTTCCTGGGAAGAGGGTCTCTGTGTACTTCTGGGGGACTCTGTGATTCAGAAGCACAGCACAGGCAGATCTCCCAAAGGGAATTTCTCCAGCCAGTCTGTCAAACAGCTCTGCTTCTGAGGCCACCACCCAAGCCACAAAGACATAGCAGCCAGTGAGAGCTTCTGCTGTGATTGAGAGCCTGGCTAGAAGGCCCAGAGCCCACCTTACAGCCCCTCAGAACAGCCAAGGCACCATCCAGGCCGTGTGTGTCCGTTCACACCTTTCAGTTGGGAAACAGGGATCCCTGGACACTCGTCTGGCAAAGGCGATACTATTCACAAATCATGTCATGTGTTCACCCCACGCTTCCAGTGTACTTGTCACAGACCATGGTGAGAAACTGAGCAAATTCAGAGGTGACAGCCAAGTTTACATTCCTGTGAAAAAGTGACATAATGACAGCCAGAGCCTTTGGATCCAAACTCCAGCTGAAGGTAGTATGGGAACCAGGGGCCCTGCTTGGAACTAAAGTCCCCTGACATTGGCTTTTCATGAAGGCAGAAGAGTAACACAAATCTGACATTTGTGTCAAAAGGACTCTGAGGAGTCTGCTACCCAGTCCTTGTGCACTCGGGTTGTCTGCAGACTCACACAGCAGCACCAATAGATTCCAGTAAATCCCTGCAGAATTAAACCTGTGAGAAGGTGGCCTTTGATTAAGGAAGGACCCCAGAGGGCAATTTCATACCCTGCATTTTCCATTTCCTCCTACAGAGGAAGAGAGGTTGCTAGCAGCACCTCCATCCAGCCATGGTGTGGGTACCCACTGGTACTGTCTTGCCTGCCAGCCTACGGATGGAATCTTGAAGGTCCTGAGGCAGCAAGGTAAGGGGCTTATTTAAAGGGCACGGCCAGGTGGCCAAATGAGGAAGCTGCTGGCCAGAATGCCCAGGCAGTTTCCACAGTGGAAATCTTCCACACTGCCAACTTAAATACATGGCTTGTCTGTTCTTTCCCACCTACCCTCTCACCAGCCCATAAAAAGAGCAGAAGTGGGAAAGAAAGAAGCCAAGGGCAGACTGCAAAGTGTCTGCTCTGCTCAGTTGGGTCCATGGCTGTGCGTGCTGATGTCTCTATCCATGAAGTATCCAGACTCCTAGGAATTGCTGGGGATGATGGGACAGCTGCAGCTTCCTGCAGACAAATACACAGATTCTGGTCCAGACCCTAGTCTTGTAAGCCTCTGTCCAGGTGGGGCTGACAGCAGAACCCTGAAGGGCTCATCCACCGGAAGTCAGGCAGTTCTGGCCCTGAGAGAGGTAGAGGGGCCCCAACAATTTGAGCTCCTGCTGAAGGCTAAAGACCCCTTTCTGGACTTTGGCAAAAAAAGGTCTTTTTTTCTCAAGTTAGGGATAGGAAAACACATCCATCATGAATGTTTGAAGCCATATCACAGCCCTCACATTCAAGTTGACCTCACCAGGCCATGTGCCAGAGCCAACAAGTGACTGGACTGGACTCTGCAGACCTGGTAAGTCACTCGAGTTAAGACAGCTAACCTTAAGCTTTTCCTCCACTGCAGAGAGGCACTGCCCCTGAAACCAGAGGCCCCATTTTTTCACAATGGAATGTCTACATAGGCAGGAACCTCTTCCAGTTGAAGAAACAAGTCCAGAGAGGGCAGGTGACTCACCCACGCCTCACAGGGAACTGGGGTGCACAGCTAAGGGCCCAGTTAGAAAGCATTTGATCGTCCATCAAAATAAATACTAAAAATGCCACCACGTTACCACAGTCCAAAATGGGTAGACCTCATTCACAGGAGCTTTGCCCAAAAGGCTGCACATTGTCTTGCCACAGTCTAAATCGCTTAAAAAATGGAAAAGTCGGAATGTTCCATTCAGAATGCAGTCCCATTAGGTGACAGGTTCCACTGCATGGCCTAAAATTAATCAGTGTTTATCAGCTGCGTAAAGGATGTTGTAGTGGGATGTTTTATAGAGCAGGTAAACTGAAGGGGTGGCGCCCTCAGGGAACACGTGGTGGTTCAGGGCGGTATCCATCTCGTCCACGTACTCCACCTGCAGGGCGATGCTCAGGGCCTGGGACAGCGCCGTGATCTGGATGTGGTCACACTCCGTGGCCATGGGCTCCACTTCCTGCAGGGGCCAAAATGAAAACAAGCCAGCTTAGGAGGGAGGCCTGGCAGAGGACAAGTGCGTTCAACTCTGGCTCTCAGGGTCACGGTCACAGCCTCTGCTGGGACGTCATCTTCAAAACATCCCATGAGTTGGGTACGGATAGTCTCATGTCACACAGGAAACAACCTCACTGAGAGGCAGGACAGCTAGAAATTGCCACAGTTGCAAGAAGCAAACCTAGATCTTTTCAATTCTAGACCTTGTAGTTACACCTGAGAGCAGGCCACTACTTTAGAGGGATCTGGAAAGGTGAGGCAGAAATTTTTCAGGTTGGGCATCAAAGAATCTTAGAAATAAAAGGCATCCTGTCATAGAGGGGTGACTTTAAAGCTTCAGTGTTTACAGAGGCCAGGCTGGTGAGTGAGTAAGTGAGTCCGGGTGCTGCAGAGACGACGGAGGAGGCAGAGGCAAGCAGGGTGTACTGCGTGGTGCCGGCGGACACTGCCCTGCAAGAGCAAGGGCCTGGGAGCTAGATCGTCTGATTTTCCAACAGAAATCCAAACACTCATATGAAAACTGCCCACTTTTAAAATACGCATCATAAACACATCTAGCAAATGTGACTCTTAGACTGTGACTGGGGTTTTGTAAACAGGCCAATCCAAATCTCTTATTTTTCAGATGGGAAATCTCCAGGGAGGGGAAGTGCCAGATCCCCTGGCTAGGGATGGGGTGCTGAAGTCTGCAGGAGAGGGCCAGGAGCAGAGCCCGGGGTTGGGGCTGAGACCCCAAGCACCTACATGAGTGCAGAAGTCTTTGATGTCCATCTCCTCATCAATGAAGTGCCGGAAGAAGTCTGCTCGGTTCTTGATGAAGGCTGACGTGAGCAGGCGCAGGAATTGCACGATGCGGTCCGAGGTGCTCTGGTCGTTGAACATCTTCAGCAGGCTGGACACCGAGCCGTCCTTCTCTACCAGTTCCACCACGCTGTAAAACTACATCCACCCGGCCCTCAGCCAGGGAGGCCCAAGCAAGCCCTGGCCCTCCATCCGCGCTCTCCCTCAGCATCCTCCCTCCCCACGAAGCACTCATGAGCATTTTCATTTGTAGATTCTCAGGCTGAGATCGAAAATCAGTCTGAGATTCTGCCTAAGCTAAGTAACCCAGGGTTAGCTAGACTTGGTAGTTTGTACACTAGCCCAGAGGCACATCTAGGGAGCAGCAGTTGGGTCTCCCCCCATCACTACCTGGGTTTGGATTCTCAGGTGCACACTGGGCAAGGATCCCCTTCACTAATTGGATGGGGAGGCATGGGGTAGAGATGGCACAGGGTGAAGGATGTGCCTTCTCCCAGAGGGAGGGCAGGGCCTTGGGCTCCCTGTGCCCACCCCCCTCCGCAAGCAGGAAGCAGCCCTCTGCTCCTCCTTCCCCAGCCAGGAGGAGCAGAGTCGTGGGTTGTTCCGGGGCTCCAGTGCCCGTTCCTGTCTGCTCTGCCACATGTGGAAGGAGGGACCAGGTGAACTCACAGCATTAAAGAAGTTTCTGAACTTGTGCTCCTCAAAGCCAGCAGCCAGAAGGTCATTTGGAGTCTGCAGTACACGTTCTTTGAACCTGCAGGGGGTTAGACTGGGTGCTTACAGGGAAACAGCAAGTGTGCTGTGATTGGCAACTGTGCGTCCCCCTCTCAACCCACTGCACCCACCAACCTCAGCTCTCAACCGCAGAACTTCCCGCCCTACCCCCGACACACAGCCATGCCCTGTGAACGTCACCCCGCACTGCCAGGCCCCGGTGACAGGTGCGTTGTGTGTGCATGGTAGAAAAACAATACGGACTAGGGCGTGTGTGTTTCTGCATCTGCTCCAACTTCCTACTCAGTGACCTCATGAGGGCAGCTTGACTCACTAATGACAGTATTGAATACTGACACCACAGCAATCGGCTGACGACACATACCAGGCCTCTCGCATGCCCAGAGCTGGCTGTCAAGCATCTGCCAGGTCCCCCTTGGGGACCTGCTCCACGGGCCCTTGCTCTGTGCATACTGGGTGGTTCATCTCTGCACCCGCTGCAGGTGCCCCCCTGGGCGCAGCCCTTTTCTGGGACCTGTCCTGGTGCCCTCGGGGGGCATGGCAAGAAACCCAGGCCTGGCCCTGGCTTCAGGACACTACAAGTTTAGTGACAGCAATGAGGTATGGAAGAAGGGCTGCCTCCCACAAAGACCAGGTGAGTGGCCCTGGGTGACCGGCTGGCGGGCGCAGAACACTAAGGCCACACCAAGTTCTCCAGCCCTGCACCCATTCCCTGGGCAGGGGGACCAGGCTCTGACAGGACCCAAGAGGCAGAGGTTTCACAAGGGAATACAGAAGCCTGGGCCACCTCAGAAGCTGCTGTGCTCCTGGAAGGCCTGGTGCCTTGTAGGAGGATGGGGAGGTGAGCAGGGAGGAGAAGGTAGTGTGTGTGGACAGGAAGCAGGTCTGCTAATTCAGAAGGAGTGTTTTTGCCTAGAGGCCGCCTGCCCCTGGCTGGTCCCGGCATATCTGAGTCCTGCCTGGGCCAGGACTAAATTCTCCTATTGCAGGCTGAGGTGCCTGAACTGGAGGGAAGGAGCCTGGGCTGACTTCTAGCTGCAGTCCCCTCCAGACCTGTCAAGTCCCCCTGTGGCTTCTGGCCACAGGCTCCCCTTTGGCGCAAATGTGGATGGCGATGATGCCTCGACGGCGCGGGTGCTGAGGGTGAACAGAGGGCTTCCCAAAAGGAGGAGGCGTCTGCTGTGGCAGGACATGCTAGGTTTCCCCTCTGGACCAGGGCAAGGGTCTGAAGATCGGTGCTGGCTGACGCCTCTCGCTCAGGAGCCACCTTCATCATCGCCCCCTGTTCCGTCTTCAGCAGCCGCAGCCTAGGTGGCCCATAGCCAGGGCACTGGAAGCAGCTCCAGGAAGCAGCCAGCTGCAGTCCACCAGGGTCGCTCCAAGGGCCCGCACCCTCTTCTGGTCACTCTGTCCCTGCATGGCCATGAAGTGCACTGCTCTGCTCCCAGCTCTCCTGTCCCCACTCCCACCCCAAACCTCTGCCTCATTCCACATTCATTCCTTGCCAGTGACTTGCGGGCCCCTCTGTGCCAGGCACGGGATGCCGAGATAAGCAGCGCGTAGGCCCTGTCAGAAGAGGGCAAGCCCCCAGGCCAGGACATGCACCCTCTGGAGGTAAGGCAGGGATGAGGGGAAGGACGGCACTGGGGCTCAGAGGGCAAGTTCAGACAGGCCAGGGCTACACACAAGCCTATGTGGGACTTCTGCCAAGTCATTTGACCTCTACAAGGCTCCTCTGGCTCATCTGTAAGACTGGGTAATAACAGTGGCTCCCCTCAGGAGGAGCATGTTCTCCAAGCCCCTGGCACACAGAAGTACTTTGCATACTTCTGGAGCAAGGATGCGAGCTCCAGGGCTGGGGCAAGCAAGCATACCACTGCAACACGCCTGCCCCAGCCCTGCAGCAGCACTGCGCAGAGAACGGGTGTCTGCCTGGGTGGCTCTGGGCTCACTGCACACACGGAGACAGTGGGGTGGGTTGTGGAGGATGCGTGACGCCGACGGTAAGAGCTAGCATGGGACACGTCAGTCATTGCTGCAAGCACTCACGAGTCAATCACTTAATGCCCAGGACAGGGCTATGGCCACCGTTCAACCAGGCAAAGGAGCTACAGAGTGAAGCGACCTGTCTGGGGCCGAGGAATCCACAGCCGGGTCAGAAGCAGAGCTTCCTGGGCCCAGAGCAGCGTCAGGCAGCATGTCAGGCATCCACACATCTAGTGCGTGTAGGATAAGTGGGTCCCTGTGCCTGGAATTCGGTGGGCAGGCAACGGGGCACGAGGGGCAGGGGACTGGTGTGGAGGGCCTTGGTGTTAGGGGCTTCCACTGCTCCTAGAGGCCAGGGGCATATTTCAGGCCTGGGAGTGACATGGTCTCCGTTTATGTGTAAGAAGATGCAGGCTGAGGAGGGAGGACTGCCTGAGCCCAAGAGTTTGAGGCCAGCCTAGGCAACATAGCAAGATCCATTTCTTAAGAAAAAAGAAAGAAAATGTTTTTAAAAACATTAAAAAGAAAAAGTGCTGATGGTCTCATAGAGCCTTGTGGTTTGACTCACCACCTGTGTGTCCCGGCCTGCCCACTGAGCGCCAGCCTCGGACATCCACTGCCCACTGGACACCCCCACTCCATGGCTCCCAGACATTTCAGACTTAGCATCGCCAAACAGAGCTCCTGATCCTCCTCTGCCCTCCCTTGCAGCAAACAACTTCTCCATCCTGCTCACTCTCAGGCCAAACTCCTGGGAGTCATCCTCGACTCTGCCGTGTCCAACATGTGAGTTGGGCACAAATCCTGTCTTCGCCCCCTCCACGGGTATCTAGACCTGGCCACTTCTTGCTATGCCCGCTGCATGCACCTGTTCATGCCACAGCCATCTCCCCTCTGGATCTCTCCCTGGCCACATCCCCCTGGCTGTGTCCCAGCCTCCAAACAGCCAGCAGGGCCGGTCCCCGGAGCTGTGCAATCTCTCGGTGGCTCCCACGTCCTTCAGGCTGAAAGCCAAGGTCCTTAGAAAGGCCTGAGACCCTGTGTACCCTGCTGCCCTTACCTCTTCAACCCTACTTGAAGATGCCAACCCCAGACCTTGCACTCTTGGCCTCTTTCCTGCCTGATGTTTCCCATAATATTTATCACCGTCTGACACCTCAAACATGATACTCATGTGCCGTCCATCTTCTCCCATTAGGACACAAGCCCCACGAGGCAGGGATTTTCATCTCTCTTGTTCACTGCAGTATCCCTACAGCCTAGAGCAGGGTCTGAGCATGGTACCCTGTGTGTGCTGACTGGAGTGGGGAGACAGGACGGAGTGGAGGTGAACAGAGCACGTGAGCTTGGCCAGCATCGCCCACTGAGTCCTCACAACAGCACCTTGAAGTGGGTTATCATGTCCACCTTCCACAGGCATGAAAACTGAGGGTCAGAGAGGTCAAGTCATTTGCCCAAGGTTGCACAGCAAGTAAGCAAGAGAGTGAGGTCTGACCTCAGAGTCCCGGGCTGCTGCATGGCACAACTCCAGGGGACACAGGTGATGGGGAAAATAAAGGTGGGGTCATAATCCCTGCACTGGGCTGTGGTGTTTCCCACAGGGCTGTGAGAAAGTTGGGGAGGGGAATGGCTTGAAATAGCTGACCCTCCATCAAAAGGGGCTCTGCCAGTCTGTCGCTGGGGAAACAACCTGAACGGTTCAGTCAAGGAACAGACGGGGCAGCTTCTACCCTCTTTGAGATCATGCGTATTTTGAACAGGAGATGATGGCCTTAACCTAGGAGTTCTCAACCTCATAGGGTTGACTATTTCCCCCGAAAGGAGATTCTTGGCAGTGTCTGGAGACAGTCTGGACCGGCATGACTTGGGGAGGGCATTACTACGGGGATCTCGTGGGTGGGGGCCAAGGATGGCTACAATGGGTAGGACCGCCCCCACGATGAGCATGATCTGGCCCAAAACGTGAGTTGTGCTGCTGTTGAGAAACCTGCCTTAGCCAAAGAAGTGCTCTGTGACCCACTGCCCCCTGTACTGTTTCCAGAGTGCATGTGGGTGCGGGTCTCCGACGAGGAGAGCCCGTGGCCCTCACCAAAGCCCCTAAGGGCTGTCAGAGCCCCAAAGGTTAAGAGCTGGGTGGATTCCTTAGCTCCTTGCTCCTCAAAGCGTGGTCTGAGGCCCAGCAGCATCACTGTCTCCTGGGAGCCGCTGAGAAAAGCAGTCCCAGCTCTGCCCACTCCCACTGAGCAGTAATTCGGGTCCAAGCCAGGTCTCAGGCCTTGTTCATCTTTGTTTCCTTCTCTTGCTATGGACTAGAGAATCAGGGGTTTTGTACAAACATTCAGGTGTGAGAAGCCCTGAACTAGCCGGGAGGATAGGAGCCGCTCTGGACACAGACCTTCACCAGCATGAACCTCAGGGCCAGGCCCGGCCAGCTGAATGCCTGGGTCACACACACTCCAAACCAAGGTCAGTGGGAATTACACAGAACACAGGGGCAAAGGTTCTTTTGTGTGTTCTCTTTTCTTTTCAGAGTGGGTCACAAAGTACCTGGTCTATGTAACTCACCTGGACTGACCCAGGCCAGTGGCTGAAACAGAAGGCTGGGAAGAGCCTGGAAGGTCATGGATTCCACCCTCTGCCCTTGGCCACCCCCACCTCCACCACAGCGGGCAGCTGGGCGCGCCCAACACCAAACGCCTCTGCCAGGCAGCCCTTCAGCTCACTCTCTGGGAACCTCCAAGAGACTTGGGGCTAACCCAGCACAGGGAGCACAGCCTCAGAGCCCAGGAGGCCCCGGCACTCACTTGAAGATCTCCCTGCTCTTCCCCAGCAGGGATTCCAGGTAGGAATAGCCCAGGGCCCTGTAGAAGCAGTTCCCATCCCCTTTGGTCTTGCGGATGGCGGTGAACCTTTTGCTGAGTTCCTGAGGGGACAGAAAGAAATGTGGGCATTTGCAGCAGCAATGGCTCTGTGTGGTTTGGGCGCTGGGACTGGCCACGTGCCCCCATCTCTCCCAGGAAATGCCTGCTCCTTCCCACCAGCCTCCCACCCTCGTTCATCCCCCTAAGATAAAAATACACCACATTGTCCTGTGTGTCTGTCCCTGACTCCAGGTAGCCTACAGCACAGGAAAGAAGATGGATGATTAGACAGTGGCAGTGTGAGGTCAGGAGTGCCCAGCTATGTGCCATGGGGCACTGACATTGCACTGGATTTTGAAAGTTGGGGAAGACTTTCTGGGGGAGCAGCACTGAGGATCGGGAGCTGGCAGAAGTGGGGGTGGGAGTTGCATGTGTGAGCAGGGGCAGGAAGGGTGGGCTTCAGCTCTGCCTCTAGCAATAAATAGGTGTCCCTCTGAACTGGCCTGGAATACCCTTTCCTGCCTCACGGGACTATAAGCAGCATTTTGACTGCAGAGGATGATTTTCAAGGGGTCTGGGAGTTCCCGTTTCCCCCCATAGCCATGAGAAGGCTCAGAGCTGACTTGGGCCCACCTGAGGGCATCTGGCAGCAGGCAGGTACTCTCTGGAGCCCCTGGCTCATCTTCCAGGAGGGGTCTGGGGTACACGAGAGTCAGCAGGCTGCAGAGCCCAGATCCTGCCCTGGAGGTGCCCCTGTAGCAGCGTCCCAACCACGTGATGCCCACACCACTACCCCTGGCCTCTGATGGACACCTGACGCAAGCTGGACCCATCGGAGTCTCTGAGGATAAGTAATGGGGCCCAACAATGGTGCTGCATGTCTGAGAAGAACTCGAAGGAAAGGGCTGTGGGGCCAGTGCCAGAGCAAGCCTGTCCTGCAGCAAGAGGAGGTCTGCAGAGTGCAGAGAGCAGCCAGGGCCTGATGCCAGAGGGATGGAGCAGGCGCCCACCTCCTCCTGCCACCCACAAGTGAGTGCTCCACAAGCCATCCCTACAGCCCGCCCACAAATCCCTTTAGCCCCACTGGAGTGAACTTTCCCTCCAAGAGGTCTTCCAGCGCAGCAGTTATGAACGTGGCTTATGTGACTTGGCTGCCTGGGTTTAAATCCCAGCTTAGCCACTCGTGAGCTACATGGCCACCACTTAATTTCTGTTCCTCAGTTTCCTCAGCTGTAAAATGGGGGTCATAAAAGTACTTACCTCACAGAGTTGTAATGAAGTCTCGGTGAATAAATAAAACATTAGGATAGTACTAAACTTTTAAACGAAAATTCCTATTTTGCTAAGGCAAATGTCCAACATCAAAAGACCCTAGGAGTCCTTGCATTCACCCAGGAACCCGGCCCCAACTAGTGGCCTTCAAAGAGGCATTGCCTCTACGCTCCCAACCCCAGCCTGTTTAGGGTAGGATGCTCTTCTCCCTGACCTCTGCCTCACCTGGATTTTCCTCCGGTAAATCCTGTTTTCAGGATGGTCCCGAAGAATGGATAGAATGTCACATTTTTCTGATATTAGGTTGAAAGATGTTTCACTCTGAAGGACAGGGAAGGAAGAAAGGCTGTGACAATTTCAAAAGCAACCAATGGGACTCTGTGAGCTGGTGGCCTCTGAACTGCAGGTTACAGAAACAGTGAATGAGACCTTCCCACCTTCCCATGTTGGGAGTGTGTTACCAGCACCCTAGACGCCCGCTGGGATCACCACGTTTCCAGGACAGGGCTAGTTTCCAGGACAGGGTTGGGGCCATTGTGAAAAAGTAGCCCTGGTTATGAGGAAACTCATCTTGTTACTTGAAACCTGATTCATTTCACAGAATGTGTGCCTCAAACCTAATGAACCGTCATGCTGGAGAATAAGGCCCTTCGTCTCCCTTCGTCCCTCCTCTCTCATTCATTCTTTTATTCATCCCACAGTTCCTGAACATCCAGCCTAGGCCAAGCACTGTGGCGCATGGTGGAAAAACTGTGGATGGTCACTGTTCATTGAGATTTTTGTAAATAGAAATCTAGTTTTCCATCCATTTATCACCATCATTTCTGACATTTAGTTGTAACTGGCCTTTTTCATGTCACACCTCTGGCCACAGTGGCCTTTCCTGGCAGCCTCTCAGCCTCATCACTGACCAGATAATGACCTCAACCCAATACCATCCTGCTCAGAGAGGAGCCCTCTGATACTACAAATCCTTTTCTCCACCTGGAGAAATATCTCCGGGTTTTTGATGATTAGCTTTTTCCAAAACTCAGCACACAGAAGCAGAGAGCTGGCCCATGAGATTAGACAGTGAGGCTTAAATGACTTTTGCTGCCCCTGTGTCCACATGGGACAGACTGCAGACTTCCATCTGGCCCTGAGCCTGTGTCCAGTATCAGGTCAGGGGAGAGGCTGGGACTGGGCAGGGGTGGTTTTAGGGGGCCTGGATGGCAGCTTGTCATACTGTCTGCCATCGTCCATTCACCAGGGGCCTGGCACAGAGAAGGGGATAAGCTACCTCCTCCGTGAAGCCTCCCTGCTCTCCCCACCTCATCTCCCTTGAATTTACACTTTATTCCTTTTCTCCCTTTCTGGTGGTACCAAACACTATCTCCCCCAGGCAAGGGGGATTCAGGGAAACTTCCCAGAAGAAAGCTTAAAAATAGAGGATGAGTTTATTGTTTTAAAGAACAGGATGAAGAATGTTTTCTAAAGAGTAAACAGCATGCAAACACTTGAGGGACGGGGAGAAGGGATTCTGGATTTTGCTTCTAGAAGCTTCCATTCTCTACCCACCCTTCTTTGTAAAATTAATCCAGCCCCAGGCTCCTTCCTCCCTTCTGCCCTGACTTCATAGCATAGGCTGGCAAAGCACAGGAAAACCATCAGGAAGAGACAACCACAAGGGGGCAGGTGCCGAGGGCTGTTGTCTTATCAGCCGTGGCCTGTTTCCTCCCCAGGAATGGAATCGCACAACACGATAAAAAATGACTGGGTAATTCACAACAATCCTACCTCTTTCCCATTTTCCTAGCCTCCCTTGCAGCTATGGGCAGCCAGGTAGCTGGAGCTGGCCAGCTGGACCAAAAATCCACTGGGGTTTCTGGGGACGCTTTTGGTTTTGGATAAAAGGAACAGAGATGGAGTGTTCTACCCTTTCCCGCTGTTAATGCAGATGCAACGTCTCGGCAGCCATCCTGCAAGCATGAGGCTGAAAGTCAACACGTGGAAGATGAGCGGGTGAGCCGCTGCTACCCCAAGCCCAAGAGGTTTGGAGTGATAGCACGTGCCATTATTGTGCACATACTATGTTCCAGGCGTGGGGAGAGAGGCTGCCATGTCCCCACTATTTCACTTAATCCTCACAACCACCTCCTGAGATGGGTATCATGATACCCATTCTACTGACAAGGTCAGGTACCCTGTGCTAAGTAATTTTAGGCAGATCTCTCTGACTCTGAAGCCCATGGAAATTCTACCGTGCCAAACTGCTAGGCAGGCAGAGCACAGAGTCCAGGTCTGCAAGGACCAAGGCTGCTAAACACAAAGGAACATTCCACACAGGGCAACCTAGGGTCTTCCCAACAGGCCAGGTCCCGACCTCCTGCCCCTGAGGCCTCCCCCAGCAAAGTTCTTCATCCTACTCCTGACCTTGGGGCTCAGTGTCCACAACAGCGTTTTCTACCCTGAGAGATACTCATCACAGGTGGAACAAGAGACGATTTACTGCAACATCCAGACGTGGCGGTAAAATACATCGCTGACATCTGGAAGGAAAATGACGTGCTTTTCCACCTCCTTCAAGCCCTCTAATCGTGTCAAGGAGAAAGACGGCCTCTAGCATACCTTGAACTCCTTTCTACTTTGCTAGTCTCTCTTCTCAAGAGTGGGCAGGCCTCTGACTCGGAGCTTAAAATCATTCCATTTTCATTTGTGTTTTTTCTTTTAATGTAAACCAAGCCAGATTTATTGACTTCAAAGGCAAATTTATAAAAAAGTTAACATGTTTTGGTCTATTCTAAGTCATGAAAGATTAACATTACTAGCATAATAACAGTTGCTAGCTGTACAATTAATTTGGCACTCATACCGCATGCTAATACGGCAAATATTCATAGGATCCCATACGTTTCAGAACAGCTCCACCTCCGCAGCCTGGTGTGGATGGTAAGAGGACAAACAGATAATACTGAAACTCAGGTGCTCCTGCCCTGCACTCCCGTTCCCACGCACGCACCCTGACTTCATGCCAAAGTCTCATTTACCTAGCACTGAGTTTATACTGTATAAAAGGCTTGTTGTTTTTACAGACTGCTGACTTCAAATGATGGCTTGGGTCTTTTTAAATAATGATCAAAAGGCAGAACAACTATATTTGATACTGCTTTGCTTAGACTGCCCAAAACCAAAACCAAAATGGCGGAAGGAGGACAAAATTAGCGGCGTTTACCCCGCAGTGTGTGAGGAGGCAATCAATGGAGGAGTGGAGAGGATTTAAGGAATTCGTCTTCAACGTGCAGAGATAAGTACTTCAATGCAGAAAACTGCCATCAGCAGTTAAAATGAGGAATATTTCAAGGTGGATTAGGAATGGGGGTGGCACCTGTACCAGGAAAGCCAAGTTAGGTTTCCATTTGCTCTATTAATAAAAACTTTGCATTTTTGACAAATCTACTTAAGCTCTTTAAAAGAGCCAAGTTAAGGAAAAGTACTGCATAGGGCGGGGCGAGGTGGCTCATATCTGTAATCCCAGCACTTTGGGAGGCCGAAGCGGGCAGATCACCTGATGTCAGGAGTTTGAGACAAGCCTGGCCAACATAGCGAAACCCTGTCTCTACTAAAAATACAAAATTGAGCCAGGCGTGGTGGTGGGTGCCTGTAGTCTTAGCTATTCGGGGACTGAGGCAGGAGAATCACTTGAACCCGAGAGGCAGGGGTTGCAGTGAGCCATGACCATGCCACTGCACTGCAGCCTGGATGACAAAGGGAGCCTTCATCTCAAAAAAATAAAAATTAAAAAAAATACCACATAGGCTGGGCACGGTGGCTCAAGCCTGTAATCCCAGCACTTTGGGAGGCCGAGGCGGATGGATCATGAGATCAAGAGATCGAGACCATGCTGGTCAACATGGTGAAACCCCGTCTCTACTAAAAATACAAAAAATTAGCTGAGCATGGTGGCGCGTGCCTGTAATCCCAGCTACTCAGGAGGCTGAGGCAGGAGAATTGCCTGAACCCAGGAGGCGGAGGTTGCCGTGAGCCGAGATCGCGCCATTGCACTCCAGCCTGGGTAACAAGAGCGAAACTCCGTCTCAAAAAAAAAAAAAAAAAATACCACATAGTAGGTCGGAGCCCTCTCAGCTGCTAAGAGCTGAGTTCATACACCCTCAGGACACACTGTGGACACCAGCCTCAGGAGGATCTTTTTCATTGTCCCCTTCATCCCTGACCCCATTTCCATTCCTCCATCCCCCTACGCCTCTATCGAGATTTTCTACAGCATGTCTTTCTAGATATATTTGTTTATTATTATGGTAAAACATACATAACTTAAAACTTATGATTTTAACCATTTTTAAGTACACAGTTCAGTGGCATTAAGTAGTTTCACACAACAGAGCAACGATCACCACCATCATCCCCAGAACTTCTAATCTTCCTAAACTGAAACTCCCGTACCCATTTTTTTCATGCATGTCCTTATGATGAACTCTGCTCATTAAATACGAACTCCCCATCTGCTTGTCCCCAGTCTCTGGCGACCACCTTTCTACTTTTCTGTCCCTAATGAACGTGACTATTCTAGGTACCTCATATAAATGAAATAATCTGTCCTTTAAAAAATACAGACTTGTAAGTGTGTGTGCATTTGGAGTTCGCATAATATTAGTCTATAGATCTTCTGGAGTTTGTTTTTTTTTTTTTTTTTTTTTCCTTTACTCCATACTGTGTAAAGCTGCCCCTGCTTACGTATGTCTTGCAGGAGGGCTACCTCCATCTGCTGGTGACAGAACTTTAAGCTAGCTCCAGCGTCCCAGTGGTCCCAGATGTGCTTACTGGGGGACCTGGATACAAGTGGATTCTCACTTTGGCCCTTCAAGTCCCCACCTGGCACCTCCAGAATGATCCAAGTCTGCCCAAGTTGGTCCCCTGCCATACCCCCTTAGCAGGGCCCTGGCCACACCCCTGGCAAGACTCGAGGAGAACCCCGGGAACACCCTCAATTTACTAGCCCATAATCAGGCATGATGCTTGCCCTGGCTGACTCTCATTCATATTTGCTTTATAAACCATGGCTGAACATTTCTAGGATGTTATGGAGAAAGGACAGGCCACATCTGACAATGTCCTGTCAGACCTAATTAGGCCACCTAAAAGGATGTTAGCCCTTTAATTGCTGGTTTGCAAATAGATGCTAATTAATTAAGTCAGATAGCACAGTGGCTTGGAAGCAGATTTAGCAGCTTGTGTGGAGGAATAAATTTCAAAGTGAGAAAAGGATGATCTTTAATCACTGCTTTTCTCCAGTAACCCTGGGAACTGGCAGAAAGCACTAGGAC